ACACTTCTCCCGCGTCGCGGCATTTTATTTACAATAGAGAACACGAACTATAATACAACTAAATTAAATTATGTTAGAGATCTTTGAATTAGATGATGTTGATCGCTCGACGGTCCGATCCCGACTCTTCGATTGTCCGTTGATAAAACACCTCCGTGGCAACCCCTCTCTTCTATTTTTCTTTAAGGAGTTGCTCACAACAGGGCAGTTTCACATTACAGCGACTTGATTTGGACAAGTCGCCGTAACATTATTATCTAATAATTTCATTCAAGTTCATGATATTTCGTTCGAGACAATTAGTTCGCGCATTTTACGTGTTTATGGTAAAAATAAGTATTCATAATTTAAAACGGTGAAAATATTGAAAGAAATTACGGATGTTGATGTACCAATCTACGCTTACTAAAATGATTAACGAAAGGAAAACAAAATGTGTGCTTGGCTTCTATGTCTTGCAATTTAGGCAATTTTTATTTTGCATAAAGATCCGATCTAGTTGCAGACTAGTGATAATGTATGTAAATAATAGAATGATCAGACTATCAGACTATATATATCAGAATATTGTACAAATAAGTGTTCGGATAAGGGAGTGCATAGCACTCAATTATTGACTGTCGTGTCAGTGTCAGTATTAGACTGCAGATTTATATGCGAGTTCAACATATTTCCAAACGATTGCAATACATTTGCTATTATTGAATACTCTGCAAGTTTTTACTGTTATTCATTTCATTTACCTATCTTCGTAATGAATGCATAAAATTCACAATTCTCTTGTGAGTCGACAGATTACCTTCAAAATGAATGTACGAATATTCTGCACGAAGTAACCAAGATTTCGACATGATCGAATATAGGTCGGTCGATTAGTTCGTGCGATTTTCGTTTTGATTTAAATTTAATAATATTAAAATTGAATTTATTAACCAACAGTTATGTGCCATACGCCGTTCGATAGCTTCAGTGTCGAGTTGACGAAAACGAACGTTTACGATTCAATCGTACAGCAAAACCTGTCGGAGATGTTCATTCTTATTCAAACTCGACGCTCCGTAGTTTCGAAGAAATTCATCACCGTATAAAAAAAATAAATATAAAGGATGCGATCAATGCCGTAATTTTAGACTGTCCACATTCTACTCCATAGTTCGAAATGCTAACATTTCGTGCATCGCTTGGATACTTGTGAAACGGTGAATTGAGGTGAAAGGAAAGCAGCGGAAACGTTTTAACTTCGTAGAGTTTTCGATGAACGTTCGAAGCTTTGTTTCTGATGAAAGAGAAGACGGAAATTGCGTTTGGCTGTCGACGAAGACGGACTCACCTTTTGTTGTTGCGTCTGCGTGGGTTCTGTGGCAAGAAGTTGCTTCAGGGCCGGATGTCCGTGGCCGTTCGACGTCGATGTTGCACCTGGCGTGCTAGGTGTGCTAGGATTGCTTCCTGGCGTGTTCGGAGTGTGAGGGCCGGTCGTCGGGCTGCTAGGACTTACGCTCTCGATCACCTTGCTACCGGCGTGATGATTTTCCGTGTGCCTCCTCAGGCTCCTCGCGTCGCAGTACGACTTGCCACATCCTTCCGCTTTACACTCGTACGGCTTCTTGTTCCGGTGGGTCAGCATGTGCCCGTTCCTGTCGCAGAAAAACGGAACATTTTCTTCAGATAGCCTGCGATTTTTATTATACAGGGTGTCCCAAAAAATGTCTCGCAAACCGAAAGTGGCGGATTCCTCAGATCATTTGAAGCAAGTTTTCCCTTTGCGAAAATGTTCTCCGAAGCACCGTTAACGAGTTATTAACGAAAAACAGTGGCCAATGAGAGGCGAGATCAGCTGCCGCGAGGTGGCCGAGCCAACGGCGCCAGCGGTCGAGCGGTCGAGCGGTCGAGCGGTCGAATCCCAGTTCAGCTGGCGCGAGGCGGCCGAGCTAACGGCGCCTGCGGTCGAGGCGGTCGAATCTCAGCTTAGCTGGCGAGAGGCGACCGAGCCAATGAGCAGAACTGGGCTTCGTGCGCTGGTCGGCTGGGCCGTCTCGTGTCAGCCGTACTCGATTCTTATTGGTCACTGTTTTTCGTTAATAATTCGTAAACAAAGCTGCGGAGAAATGTTTTGTAAAGGAAGAAGCTGCTTCAAATGATCTGAGGTACCCGCCATTTCCAGATTGCGAGACATTTTTGGGACACCCTGTATTCCATCTTCATTATATTCAATCTTTATTATATTCGATCTTTATTATGTTCGATCTCTTTTGTATTCGATCTCTTTTGTATTCGTAGAATTTGATCGAAGTAACATAATAATTATAATAATTCATAATAATTTATAATATTATAATTTTTACATCTCTATTCACGTTAATTTATTTTCCAATTTTTTCTATTAATTTTTTGTTATCCATAAAAATAATAAAATATCGTGAGAAATTATCTCCTTTCGAATGTGGATTTGATCCTATTACAAGAGTCGCTCGCTAAAATATTCATACGCCTTTTAACCCAAAATCCAGAATAGTTTTTCAGACCTACAAGTACATTTCATTCCCGTAAAATTGAATTTTGTGACTCGCGCAACAGTTGCACTCTAAGCGGTCTTTTTTTAGATATAAACAAATTTGATAATATTAATTAAAATGATTTAGGAACGTGATATGTACACTGCGGATCTGTATGCAAAATAAAAGTCATCCGAGTCGGATGTGAAGAAAATGAAAGATACTTCTTTCGATAGTGTTAATAGATCGAAAACAAATCAACGATATTATTAAATATTTTTGATCTCTTCACAGATTTCAATTTTCTTCACCGCAAATCTGACAATTTTTTAAGGAGTCACCGCTCGACTTCGCTCTTTTCAAAGCGGTCGCAACAGCAAACCGGTTCAATTACATAAAACAAATTACATAAATTACGGATTCGCGATCCGTTTATAAGAAAAGTTATTCCGTTGTGAAAGGCGTACGAATAACTTTTTTGTACACCGACCGTACGAATTCCGAACGAAGAACTTTGCGAAACGCAGACATTCCCGTCAAAGATAAACGAGAAACGGATGAACGACGCGACGCTGCCGGGTCTAAGTAAGCGCGGGAAAAACTTGGAGCTCGGCCTCGTCGAACGCAGAAAATTATGTCGACCCAATTATGTCGCTATCTATATGGACGATCTACTCGGCTCCGGAAATCCCGTACAACGACGAGCACGTTCCACGTCCTATCTGCGAGGAACATCTAAGCTTATCCCCGGCGTGACAGCCTTACGGCCGTTTCCTCGCCTAAAGACTTCTCTCCACCCTATTTTCCCGATATCCTGTGTAATGCCATCGACGGAAGCGAGGCGTACACTTCGCGCGCCCCTGGACTCGCTTCGACCGAGAAAGAGCTTCGCGTGTCCCGAGAAAATGACGACCGGCACTGTCCCCGAGCGAACCGGGCTCGTGTCCCCCGGCGAGCGAAAAACCAGAAAACTTGGCGGTTGGTCGTCGCGGCGCGCCGTTCGTTTCCGCGTGCGCAAGCACACGGAAAAAAATGCGGTACGTGCAACAAGTTGGCGCATGAATTTCCAACGACCGGGTCGTTGCAACTGGCGAGATCGTAAACGAGGGAAATTCGTGAGGAGAATTTTCATTCGTGTTCCCGGACGACGAGTTAGCCGGTTCTGATACCTCACTGGCTAATGATGAATACGGGATGAGAACCCAGTTTTTCATATCCCGTGAAACGACAAACCGGCGCATACACGAGATCTGATCCAACGAATTTGCATGGTGCGCCGTGTTCGAGGTTTTTTTGGAAATTGCAGTTTGTTTGCGGAAAATGTAGAAATTATTATTGTATATGGAATGATTTTTGGAAATCAAATGAAGGGTTGAAGTGCTGTGAACGTTGATATAGAAACTGGTGACGTTCGGTTTCGTGAAGTTGAAGAATAATAAATGAAATTCGCCGAGCGAATTTTTAAACGATTCAAAGTGTTACGGCCAAGTGGCCAGGATTTATGGCAGGGGCCATGTGCTTGGGTACCCGGACGGTATGGGTCTGTCCCGGGCCGTTCCCGGGCACATGCGGCACCGTCATAACATCTCCTGGTCCTTGACTACGGTCCAGTCAATTACGGTTGGGTCTAGCATTGTTCGGGCACGTAGGCCCATCAGCGCGGGATGTCTAGCAGGAGTTATTTTGCCACTCTCCCTCCTAACTCCCGGCCCACCGTTTTGGGGCAGTCTCACTGGATTTGGGATTGCAGTGATTGGACCGTAATTCCTTGCCGCCCACCCTAGGTCAAGAGAAGTAGGGAGGACCGAGGTCATATTAGGCATGACTCCGGTCCTCTAAAGCACAGAAGCACAGACAAGAAAGGACAGACAGACAGAAAGCACAGAGGAACAGACAGACAGAAAGCACAGAAGAACAGACAAGACAGACTTTCAGACAGAACAGAACAGAACACATAGAGAGATACGCGTAACGGTTAGGTTGCGCGTTACAAATAGAGTCCCACTACAGTGGGTGGTCCTTCGAGGTAGTCGGCACCAAGTGCAATATTCAGAGGATCTCCGTCATCCATCTGATGAGTCCTCAACACAAAGTAATATAGTTCGATGTATGCGATCGATATTATTGACCAGCAAACAGATGGGATTTAATTCAACGAACGATTTTTTCAAAAATCATTATTCGACTGCGGATTTTACGCATTTATTGCAAAAATTGACAAGGGGGGTCTAGTATACGGTAAACATTGGAAGAATTGAAGAATATTATTTTCAATCGATTACAGTTGTTGCAGAAACAAATATATTTTTACAATAATAATTGCCTATCAAAGTTTCCACTTTGCATAAACATCAGCAGTCTAATCGTTATAAATAATAAAATGTCACTTTCCACTGTGCAATAAACACAATAAAATCACTGCACTTTATTTCCCAGCATGGTCGTCCCGACGTAGCGTAATTCTTTTTAATTAAGACGACGTTTCAATGGAAACTTTTTTATTTCATAATTAAAATGAATTTGCAACGTCGAGTTATTACAATATAATTTACCGGCGGAAGCTGCATATTAGCAGTTGAAAGAATATTTAATTTCGCGTTTCTGCGAAATAATTTACAAACTCGCTGACAGAGAAGTAGGTTAAAAGAGAGGAAGAATAAAAATGTTTCATTCGAGTTGTCATCGCGAGATGAAATGGTGTCGGGACGAAATGAAAATAGTTCGCTTCAGCTGTCGTTTGAAAATAAAATATCGTTCATACCTTCGTCGATACACGCGCCGAAGCGTTAATAAAGGCATTTTCTAAAATTAAAATACCAGATCGACCCAAAGAATTAAAATCGTTACTGGAACGAGACAAATGTGTGTGTATTGACAAAGCATTCCAGACTCGAGGTTACTCGAAGTAACTTTTACGTTCGAACAAAAAACCAAAAAGGAAACTACATTTGTAATTTCTATTTTATCTGTTATTTCTAACGTAGAAGTAATATTACGTTTCGTTAAGTGTTTGTTTAAATATCACTAAAAATGTAAAAGTTACTCCGAGTCTGTAATTGTTCACTGTACTTTGATATTCTTCAGTAAATTATACATTTTATAAAAATATCGTATTCGAACAAAATATTGAAGAAACTCGAACGTATACAGTACGATTACAGTAATATTTAATGAAATGAAACAATGATTTGCTACAGTGGATAGCTATGGAATGCTTGCAAATTACCAAAGGCATTGGGAACGGTTGCGAGAAACGGTTTCAGAGGAAAAGACGGAAAGACCGAAATCCCAAATCCTCATTCCCGTAGCCAGAAGTCCGGGGAAGACATTTAAATGGCTCCGGTTCCCGCCGGCACGCGTCTCATAATGGCCACGGAATAAAAGTGTAAGGGTGGTCGTAACCATTCATCAACCGTAGCCGCGTTAACTGCTATCGCGGTGCGCGGCGTTTTCACGACATCCCGAAACAGCCGACGGGACACCGGATAAAGAACGAAAAGAGAAAGAGCCTGAAAGTGCAACAAGTTGGCGATGCGGTGCGGTCTAGCCGACGAATAAGAAGGGTGGCCTTTATCGTCCTCGAGGAGTCCCTGATACGATGATTCCCCTCCCTATAATTGCATTAATCCGACAGCGAGACGCGCCACGGAAACGACACCGTTAACACGCCTCGCATCCGTCTCGAACTAACCCGTAAATCGAGATCGAAAAGCTAGCGTTCCGTCGACTCTTTGGGGCACGGCGGGATTAAAAATGTCCCACCCTTTTGAGACATGCACCTTGAAATATTGCAATAGCTCTGCATGCGCATTCATGAACCCACGTGGCACGGTGGGACTATTTGAGTCCCATCCTATAACAACAAATTGGATTGAATTATTATTATATTTTATGTTTTTATATTATGCGATTTCTTTGTTGATAAAAATATATCAATTTTGTTTCATTTAACCTTTCAGGCACGACGCGCCACTATAGTGGCTTTCGCGGATGTCATCTTTCAGAACGACACGCCACTATAAGTGGCTTTCGCGGATGTCATCTCTCTGGACGACGCGCCACTATAGCGGCTTGCTCTAGTAGCTCACTCGCTCATCGTTTGAATCAAATAATCGTCTTCATATGCATTGTTTCACATTTCT